ACCCAAGTGCCCAACAAATGATGAATGCATAAAGAAGATGTGATATATATACAATGGAATACTACTCAGCCATAAAAAAGACAAAATCGTCCCATTTGCAACATCACAGATGGACCTTGAGGGTGTTATGTTATGCAAAATAAGCCAGACAGAGAAAGACAAACACCGTACGACTTCACTCAAATGTGGAAGATAAATAAACACATGGATAAAGAGAAGAGATGAGTGGTTACCAGAGGGGAAGGGGGTGGGGATGTGGGTGAAAGGGGTAAAAGGGCACATACATATGGTGAAGGATAAAAACTAGACTATTGGTGGTGAGCATGATGCGGTCTACACAGAAACTGATACATACAATGTACACCTGAAATTACACAATGTTATAAACCAAGATGACCTCAGTAAAATACATAAAATAAAAGCAAATGAAAAGAAGACTCAGGAGATATGGTAGCTGGCCCCAAACCTGGGAAGAGCTGTGCTGTGGAGGGGCCTTGCCCACCTACCCGGATGGCCCCAGTGTGGGCACTAGGCCAATGAGGAGACTTACAGGCTTTCAGTGTGAGCTCCTTATGAAGGATGTTCTAACAGTCAGCGCTGCCTCAGAGTAGAACAGGCTACCCCAGGATGGAGAGGCCCCAGAGCAGAAGCCAGCACTTCCCAAACACCTCTTCACGATTTTGACATATCTGTGAACCACCTTATTAGCCCTACCATAAATGAGGCATCATTTACTATAGTTATCAAAATAAATCTTACAAAGACAAATCTTTGAATTCTAGCAAAGGGCCCTGGAAGCTGGGAGGCCTATTCTCTTTTTAAAAAGGAGGGGGATTAACAAGTGTTAGACGAGCATTAAAGGCCTATTAGCAGGAAACGGACTCTTTTTCCTTGATACAGTTAGGATTGAAATACAATTCAAAAGATCACCCTTTTTCTCCTGAAATTCAACCGCACCACCTAAAGTCTTCCTGGAACACACTGGACCTAATGATCTAAACGCCCTTTCAACCGTGGGCTCCAGGACCCCTGCAGCCCTCCTCCAAAGCTGAATAGCCCTTGTTTCCTCAAGCCCTGCTCAAATGGTCTCAAGCCCTCGCACTGCCTGGCTGCTCTCCATGGGTAGCACCGGCTTGCTTCAGACGTGGCCTGAGCAGTACCAAAGGGAACTGAGCTGTAAGTGAGTTGGAGCATTATCCTTTCATTAACGCAGCCCCAGGTCCCATCCACTTCCCAGCAGCCCTCTTCAATGCCAGGGCTCACCGTGCTTTCCGAGGATGAGAACTGTCATCTGCCTCCTTTCACCTTGGCAGTACAGAGGCACATCCTCCCGGGCCGACCCTTGATCACTTGCTGATTTGGACGGACTGCATGACATTTATCCAACAAGGCAGTTTTGGATTAGGAGAGGAACAGCTTTCTTACAAGGAGACAATTCAACCGCCAAAGTTTGGCCAGCAGTTAACAAGAAGGCCTCCACTCTAAACACCTGTGCTTCTGTAACACAACGCTCAAAGACAGTGGAAGAACACGCAAAGGTGTGCCATGATGGAAGAACACAGCTAATTCCATGCCTACACTCTGCCCTGGATGGTCCAAAGCATCCAATTTTCGCCACAAATCATTTCATTCTCACGACAGCCCTGTAAAGTGGGTAAGAGGTCCCCGTTTTGCAAATGACCAAACTGATGCTCAGAGAGGCTACATAACTTATCCGGGTCACCCAGTCAGTTGGCAGAGTCAGAATGCCAAGTCAGTTGCACCTGACACCAAAGTCCAGGTGAATCCTATTCTACTGCACAGGTCAGAGGAGGAAATGAGAAAAGCCAGAGGCCAGCAGTTGACTGGAACCCGGGATGCTCGGGTAAGCAGTTTTGATTGAACACAGGAGATAAGAAAAAGACCACAACTTTTTTGATGAGAGGAGTTATTCTTTCATCTTTGTAAACCCTTGAGACCAGCTAATAATTTAAAAATAGGAAGAGTAACAAAACAAGAGGAAATAAACGAAATAATAAATAAGGGGAAATATATGAAAGATAAGGCACTTGGGAGGTACAGAGGCAACTAAGGGAGGGAGCTTCTTGGCAGCCTTTGGCCATATCCCCTCGGTGACATAAACCAGCCTCTGATTAGAGAAACAGTCAAGAATGAGCCCCGCAGGAAACACAGGGATGAGGCACATGCTTCTGAAACCACCTTTATGACAAGCGCATTCCCCGTTTCTTAAAGAGGGAAGTTGGAAAGCTTCACCACTTACATCCTAACAGCAGGCTGCCGCGCAAGGTGACTGCTCGCCACCCGGGAATTCACAACTCCAGGATGTCTTCCATTTGCTCACTGGGTTATTGGAGGTTACTGTGATGGATGCAACCAGCTTATCAATAATTAACTCATACACAGCGCTTATCAAACAGCTTCTGATCCCTTTAGCTTCTGCCTAAACACACATGCAAACACACACGGGCTTCACAAATACAACTGCTTGAGGACAATTACAAAGGAAGCAGCAGCAGCGTTCAGGATGGGCACAGCTAAGCATTAGGGTGAAGGGACACATGTGTCAAAGCTGTGGAGTCCACGTGTTTCAAGCCACAAGAGGCTCATTTACACAATGTGTCAGCTTCTAAACACCGGATTAAAGAGCACGCGGGGTGGGTAACACCTGAGCGCTTTTTGGAAATCATGCAAAATCGCAGCAACCACAATAGAGCTCCAGCAGCAGAAAAACATTTGGAAACTTTATTTAAAGCACTATTCTGTATAAGGAAATGTCCGGAATGAGATTTCTTGGAGCTCATGAATATTTATTATAATATATTCTTGAAAACAACCAAAAAATTAAGTACAGTATAAATAGGAAACAGATTTATAAGAGTCAGTCATATGTTTACATTATGCAAATTGTAGTTAAAGACCTATAACCAGAATATTGTTAAATGCCGAAAAAAGGCAGGGGGGAGGGCTGCTGATATTTGGACATCTTCTTTAAAGTTGGCATATGATATTTTTAGAGTTTTTGACAATCTGTTCACTGAGGAATGGCTGTGGGCACATCTTTCACTCTCACTAACCTGGTGGCGGAGACGCAAATGGAAAGCAATGTCGAAGGCCTGGGGTTATCACAGCCCCTCCCTTCATTCATGGCGACCAAGCTCTGCAGGGTGGAAACAGGAGACGTCCCGAACCCTGACCGGCACGCTCCCACACACAGCTCAGCCACCCCAGCCTTGAGCAAGGAGGCGGCTTTGCACACATGCCATCCACTCTCAGCCAGCCAGTCAAGCGCACTTGTGCCTCTGGGTGAGCAACAAGAGATGCATTAACGACACTCTATGCGCTGAATAACTTTCCCCAGTTAAGGATGTCACCTTGGGCTTCAGGACACCAATGGAGCAGAGCACCCTCTGAGGACAAACCCCAGACAGACATGCTGGGTGAAAGGCTCGGGGGTGGGGAGCTGAAGGAGGCCCCCTCTGCAAACTGTAGTTAAAGACCTACAACCCCAAACTTTCACAGATACCACATCGTTCAAGGAGGGCTGACTAATTAAGAGTTGGGTTTTTTTCATTATGGCCAAAGACAGGTGTTTGTTTTTTGGTAGGTTTTCTTTTTTTTCCCCAAAGATTGGCACCTGGGCTAACATCTGATGCCAATCTTTTTCTTTCTTTCTTTTTTCCTTCTCCCCAAAGCCCCCCAGTACATAGTTGGATATTCTAGTTGTGAGTGCCTCTGGTTGTGCTATATGGGACGCCACCTCAGCATGGCCTGATGAGTGGTGCCAGGTCCACGCCCAGGATCCGAACCAGCAAAACCCGAGACCACCAAAGCGGAGTGCATGAACTTAACCACTCAACGGCGGTGCTGGCCTCCTTGGTTTGTTTTTTGTTTGTTTGTTTAAGGAAGATTAGCCCTCAGCTAACATCTGCTGCCAATCCTCCTCATTTTTTGCTGAGGAAGACTGGCCCTGAGCTAACATCCGTGCCCATCTTCCTCTACTTTATATGTGGGACGCCTACCACAGCATGGCTTGCGAAGCGGTGCCAAGTCTGCACCCAGGATCCGAACCAGCGAACCCTGGGCGGTCAAAGCGGAACGTGCTAACTTAACTGCTGCACCATGGGGCCAGCCACACTTGGTTTGTTTTTTTTAATTTCTCTTTAGGAAAGCCATATGTGGTCATTGTAGGAAATGCGTAAAACAGAAAAGTATACTAAAGGAGAACATTTCTAAATAAGATTGAATTTAAATTGGGACTCCCTGGAGGTCAGAGACGAGGGGCTTTCCTTGGAGCTCACTGGTGCCCTGGGCTCAAGGTGGACCACGGGGCTGCCACCCTTCTCTCCTCCCCAACTCACACTCCCACTGCCCACAGCCCCAGACCCCTGCCCCACACGCAACTGAGCAGGGCCACGCCTCTCGAGAGAGCTCACTGCAAGGAGCTAAAAGAGGTCACAAACGGTCTCTTCAGAATGCAGAAGAGGAATAAATGAGCTATGGGTTACATAAACTGCACGGCCAGAAACAAACCCCACCCCATCAGTGCTTTGCAAACGCCTACCACACAGGAGCTGTGCAGCCCTGGGCAAGTTACTTGACCATCCGAGGCCTCCTTTCCTCATCTGTCCACAGGGGATAAGAATGGTCCCTGTGCTTCACAGAGCTGTGGTGACACTACAGTAAAAGGGCTCTACCCCATGCATGCAACGTATACACAGATTAATAAGAATGGCAAGGGCCACCTTCAAAAGCAGCTCTGAATACTGTCACTGTGGGCGAAAAGGTCTCTAGCATCTTTAACACAAAAATCGATACACGTGGCAATGAACAGAAATAATAATGCACTACTGGATCTCTAAAAGGTGGAAACAAATCATTCTGCCTTGATGTTCTAAATCCAGCCTAAGAGTACAACCGCCACTTCCTGGCTATTTGATTCCGTTAGTTGTCAACAATTCCATCAGAATCCCTGTTTCTTAAACCCATTAATAACTACCAACCTGTCTTTGTGTCCTGGGGATTAACCAAGACCAATATTTTCTGCTGAGGTTCATCACGGTGCACGGTGCAAAAGCAAACAGACGAAGCTTCGAGTTTAACCTGAAAAATAATAAAATCACCATTTTGTGCTTTCATCATAGTAAGGGCACAGGGAATTAGTTAATTAGCATGCTATTCACTGAAAGAACACTATTACACAGAGGTTAATTTGACAAGATATGGGCAACGTAAACATGGAAACCTTACACTCTGAGCTAAACACAAGGGGAATTTGACAAGGACCCTGCCCCTGTCCCCCACCCAGCAAACCTCTTTCCCTCGTTCCCCTGTCCATCTGTCCAAGCATTGATTAAACACCTACTCAGCTGAAGGCCCTCCACTCTCTCGCTTCCATACGCTTCCTGCCCCAGAAGCCTCTGCCACCCCAATCTCGTTTGGGCCTCAGCCTACAAAAGCAGAGGGTCACATGCCCACCTCAGGCCCATACCTGCCAAGCCAGCCTCAACTGCCTCCTGTGGCCACTCTAAGGAGACAGCCTGGGCAAGCCTGTCTTCACCCAGGACGCCACTCAGGCTGCCTACTGCCCGGCTTGCATCGCTACAAGCAAGCTCAAGAAATCTGGGCCCCCTCTGCAGGCTCAGCCCTGGCTCCGTGGCAGCCCCAGGGTGAGCACCTCAATGCTGGGCGCCTGCTCACTCATGAATGAGAACAGCACCGAGCAGCAGCTATGGGGCCTTTAATGCAGGGACTGTCCCAGGACACTTCTCTCAAGTGTCCACATCCCAAGCCCTCTTTGTGGCCATCAACCCCACTGCTCCCAGCTCCCAATGCAAAAGGTCAACACATTCCATGGCAAAGCGTGTTTTGAAAACTGAAGAGAGTATGAGAAAATGAGAAAAGAATGTGTCGGCTGAGCGAGGCAAGCAGGTTGCTTGTAAGAGTTTACAGCAGGCCTCCAAAGTTTCAGAGAACTGGGTTTCTTTTGGTTTTTTTGCTTGGGGAAGATTAGCCCTGAGCTAACATCCGTGCCAGTCTTCTCCCACTTTATATGTGGGTCACCGCCACAGCATGGCTGATGAGTGGTGGAGGTCCACGCCCAGGATCTGAACCTGGGAACTCAGCCTGCCGAAGTGGAGCGCCAAACTTAACCACTACGCCAGGGGGCCAGCCCCCAGAGAACTGTTTCTTAACAAATCCTGGGACCAGGAAACATGTTGGTGCCTCCCCGTTTTCAATTAAGACTCCCCACACTGGCCCTCCTGCAGCGGTCATGTGAAGCAGGGTCCACCCACCAGATGGCCATCATAAGGCCATTAAAACGATATGGACGAAGCAGCACACGCCATAGGAAGAGCCTTGTTACAGATCACGTTGTTGTCAGAGTGTGATCTGAATGTTAAAAAAGCACACACAGAAATAAAATCAAATGGAAGCACATCAAAATGTTTACAGCAGTTAACCATGGGTGATTTTATTTTCTGTCTTTGGCTCCAGTTCCCAAATACTATGCAACAAGCAAACACTATTTTATAACCAGAAAAATCCATAAGTATTATCGTATTTTAAATGTGACAGAACAATTTTAAGACTGGAAACAGAGTTAATTACGAAAGACTTTTAAGAGGACCAGAGCAATGTGGTTTGATCCTCAAACCATTTCCTTTTTTAAAAAGCAAGAAAATTTGGAAAAATTTCTCTGGATTCGAAAAGAAAAGGTAAATTTACTAAAAGCAATAACGAGGTCCAATACTATCCCAAATTAGAATATTTCGACCTGCTAAATGGTAGGAAACTTCTACCATTTCTTAATTAACTGCTAACACGGTAGGAAACCAAATGATTGTTTTCATGAAACGTTCTTTTTTTTAGAAGCAGGAGAAGAGGATAGGTATAAAGCCATTTCAGCATTTCTATAATGTCAAAACAACTGAATTTTAGTAACTGTCTTATTTTATTAAGTTTTTGCTAATAACACTAAAATTATTCACTCACTGAGCATACTACATATTCGTTTTAGGTAATATAATCCATAAATAAGCGTGAAATAAAAGCAGATGACTGAAAACTGTATCCTAAAGTATTTCAGGGCTAACTCTTGTATTCACCACACGTCTCGGATTACCCCGCATTCGCCAGGCGCCACACCACCCTGCAGCCCACCAGCCCTGCCGGAAGCTCTAGGTACAGGAGCCCCCAGTCTTGACCGACTGACCGACTGAGAGCCCGCTTTCTTTCCTGGTGTGACTGTCACTAGGGGGCGCTGACAGCGCGTGAGTCCCGCCATCTCCCCTGCAGATCAACAAGGACTCACCCAAAGGAAGTGGATTCTTCTAGGAGTTGATTACAAACTAGCATCTCCAACAGCTCAGGGAAGCCGCACTATATAAACCGTACAAGCCGTTGTTTTAAGGCACTTTGGAACAACTTCAGGGCGGTGAAATAAAACCCTGTCTTCCTCAACCAACTCTGCCTGCCAGAGAGCGACAATTTCTGGCATGAGTGAAATCTGACATGTATAAAACAAGGAAATCTTGTCTTTTTCAACAGATCAGCCTCAACTCTGAAAGGTGACTGACTTAGGGACAGCCCAAAATTCACCATATATTCTTTGTACTTACTGTGGGGGGGAGGGAAGGTCTTAAAAGTAACGCAATATTAAAATTTCACCCACAATCCCACTGTCCTAACAAATAAGTGGTTTTCATTGCTCTCTGTTCTCTTCCAATCCATATTCAAAATGCAATCTGATCCGTGCTAAAAAGCGTAATTGACATAACTTCATTCCAATTGATATAACTTCATTCCAAATCACAAAATTTTAGAACTGAGCCAAACTTTAGTGACCAAGGACCAGTCAACCCCCTCATTTTACAAATGGGAAAACTGACACCCAGCCAGGCATTACACACAGTGTCTCATTTAATCCTCATAACAACAGTATGTGGTAAGCTATGTTATTGTCCCAGTTGTAGAGATGAGAATATCAAGACCAGAGAGGTTAAGACACTTCCTCAAGGTCCCACAGCTAGTGAGTGGTAGGCCGGGGAGTCACAACAGGCTGCCTGGCAGAACTGGGCCTACAGTCAGGACTTCAGAATCACAATCCAGGATTCCTTCTGCTTCTCAAGGTGGAATCACCCTAGCATTCACTCCACAAAGTTTTTTTTGTTTTTAATCTGTAATACCCTTTCACTAACATTCTACTCTCTAATAAGTTAGATTTTAAAGAGCTCTCCACCAACCAGGATGATCACACATACCTGCTCCCCGGTGGGAAGAGAGAAAACCTCCGCTGAGGGCCGCACGCCTGCCCTAAGCGAGGCATAGTAAGCCAGAGCTGCCTCCCGATGCCCTTCGGGGTCATCTTCCAAAATATCCACTGGGTAAAGGTCTGCTGGGCGAAAAAGAAGGCAAGAAACGGCATTAGTTTTACTCTTTCAATAAAGGAAAAGTCACTTGTTTTTTGAAGATTTTTTTTAAAGCACCCAATTGAACACTTGCTTTAAAAATTATGTTCACCTATTTTTTTAAAAAATGAAAAAACAGCAGTGTAGCAGCAGGCACCAAAAGAAAGACATTCTCGATGGCAGGGCTGGTGCCAAGCCCCAGGAGACAGAGGTTCAACAGGAACCCTCCCATACTGCCACAGAAACTTCCTTCCATACACCCAACCATGGAAGGGTTTCCCGCGTATTCTCCAAATGGGTCGGCCACGGCAGACGTGTGGACATCAGGGACCTTGAGAGCTGACACTAACTGGTTAGAACCTTGGAAACTTTGACAAAATGACAACTGCGGCTTGAGCCATCATTCACCAGCTGACACTGGCCGTGCACGTTGATAAGACTTGCCACTTCTCTCCTGTGATGGGGCTGCTCTTCTCTAAGAGTTTCAATTACTAGTTAGTATGAACTGTAAAACTACCTGTAAACTACATGTCCATACACAGACTACCGTCCATATTAATTCACCAGTTATCTCTTGGCTTTCCTCAGCATCGCTTTCTTAGCACCACATTTTTAGAGGAAAATTCTCTCCTTTGAATAATCACACAAATGGATAGTATCCAACTCAGCTTGGAAGCGGTGGTCAGTTTTCCGGAGACACTGGCTGACCTCTGGCTGGCGTGTTCCTCAGTGGGAGGGGGCTCTGTCGCCTTCTGTGGACCCCCACCTCTGACTCACCTCTGGGCTCTTCCTGGGGGGGGTTGGGGGGGGATGCCAGAGCCACCCTCTGCTCTTCCTCCTCTTCCTCAGTCAGTCCCCCTGCCCCTGGCTTCCACTGTGAAAACCTCATGGGCACACACAGACTAGGAAAGAGCTGGGCAGATACATTCTCCCACTATTCAATTTTTGTACGCAGGTATGAAAAAAGATTTGACACATGTTCAAATGCATTAAGAAAAATAAGCTGGAAAGAGGGCTGCTTCAACCCTGGGGCACCCAACTCACGCTGCATGCTTGTCCCATGAAAACAACTTCAACAGCCACCTTTCTCAAAACGCCCCCAGGAACACCATCCTAAGGAGCGAGTGCAGATCCCACCTCCACTTTTACTCTGCTCCTGGCCCTGTGTCTTGGGAGAGATGTTTGTGAGACCTGGGGCCTCAGTCCACTCCAGTGAGGTCGAGGGTCAACAGAAGAGCCTTATCAACCAGCCCCACCCACAAGCTGAACTTGGCCCCTTGAGACCCCTCACAACAGGGTGCTGGGAGGATGCTGAGGTCCTCCGGGGAGGGGCATCGGCAGGGGGTACCTCACCCAAGACCACTGGGCCCAGAGGCCTGGCTGCTCCTTTAGAGTCCACAGAGGCCTCTGCCTGGTTCTCCCCAAGCTGCCAAGGGCTGCCTGGCATCAGTTCTGGTCGCGTGTGGTCAGGAGAAATGCAATGAATGCAGTTCGCTCCTTGCCCACCATGAAATCATTTCTCCGGCCAGTTATCCTGCTCGGGCCATGAGATCCCCTCAAAGATCCAGGGGAACAGTATCCCAGGGCACCCAGGTCCCTCGGGGCTCTACTGCCCAGCTGGCCCAGGGGCGGGTGCCTCTGGGGTCTTCCGAACAGGAAGCCCCCAAACCTGAGAGTCTGGGCTGCTTCCAGAGCCTCTGGGGAGAGGGCCCAGCAGGCATAAACTAACCCTGGGGGAAAAGAAATATCTGAATATCTCAATACTCACACAACTAGGCGGCACCCGAGCTCTGTTCCCCCTTAAAACCTGGAAGCGGGGGCCCACCCCTGCGCCCCAGGGAGACCCACTGCACCCCCGCGCATGCCTGGAGGACCGCGGGGGGCCGCGACCCTCCGGCCTCTGGTTTTCATTACTTCTCATCCCTCGGGGGGGAAATTCCCCCAAAGGAAAATCTCGGCAGCTTCCCTCTCACAAAGCAAATGTTTGGGTTAGCTTTCTGCAAAACTAGGTGGGAGGGGAAAAAAGGAGCTGCCTAAGGCGGGAGACGGGAGGGGGCATCCAACGACCGCTGGGAAGGAAGACCCCCGCTCCAGGGAGGAAGAAACGCCCCAGCCCTGACCCCAAGAGGAAGACCCCCCGCCCTCAGGAGGAAGAAAGGCCCCCTTCCCGACCTAAGAGGAAAGGAGACCCCCTCCCCAACCTAGGAGGAAGGAAAGAAAACACACAGAGGCACAGGCACAAGACCCCGCCTCCATCTCCGGGAGGAAGGAAGCCCCCTGCCCACCGCCAAACCACAGGGCGCTGGGGCAGAGCGGAGGGGCCCCGGGGAAGTCAGCAGGCCTGGGCGGTTTACGCAGGCGCTGGAGGCGAGCGGGACCGCCACACTGGCTTCGCTGGTGATGGAAGGCAGAGCGGGGCAGGCGCTCCCAGATGCGAAATGCGAACAGGCTTAATGGCTTGAACTGAACAGGAAATATTTTTCCAAAGCCAAAAGAATGTAATCTTTTCGGTACAATGGAAAATGCTTTTATGAAAAAAAGCACCCGGTTGAAATAATTCATTGCAGACTGTAAAGAAATTGAAAGCCCCAAACGACCCCCAAAATTGAGAATTCACTTTAAGCATATGTTTGCTGTAGTCACCGGAAAAACAAAAAAAACAAGTGGTATATTTTAAAGCATTCTTCTATGGAAAATACTTAATTCACTCAAGATCTTTGTACCAAAGCTCAAGTTCCCAGGGCTGCACGCACGGCTTGTCACACTGCGGTGAGCCACCGCCTGTCACCCACTCCTGCTCTGCCAGTCACTGCTGCTTCATCAGCCATCGCTGGTCAGTCAGGCAAGGCCTAATGCTTGACAGCTCTCCCAGCACTTGTTGGTCTTCCAGATGTAAACAGCAATGCCAGTTAATGAAAGGGATCAAATGCTCTGCACTTAATCATTGATTCAGTCTCACCTGCAGAAGATTCTCTCCAAACACTACTTCACCACAAAAATTAGGAAATTTCATTTTAGCAGAGTCTAATTTTTCTCACAAGGGACTATAATTATGAGAAAGACTAATAAAGATATTTTAAGTCTTACTAGCCCCAGTCTTTAGAATTTCTACTTTACTAAAAGTGTCAGTAACCACCCGGCATTCTGTCACTGGAAAAGCCAGCTATAATCATTTGGTTTTTTTGTAATGTGGGTTGTCATTCTTGAATTAGAGTAAGAATAATTCTTGGTCATGATAATATGTGAAAAAATTTTCAAGGATGTAAAATTATAAAGTATATTTTACTTTTGTTTTTAAAAACTGGTTAAAAGTAGATAGCACTCGTACAGAACTTTTGTTTTTCTCTTTTTCCATGCAATTGGTATGGGTTTTCCTTCATAAATTAGTTTTCTTCTCAAAGGAAATTATTATAAGAAGGAATCCTTACCATAGGAGAAAGCTGCTGAGTGGGGCTGAGTGATTAATTCTGAGCTTAATAGAGAGCTTGGACACTGGTTTCTAACCAGAGAGGAGGATGCCAGAAGAGACAGGAAGCTTCGAGCCAGAAGTCTTTGGGGGGTTCTGAACCCAGGTGTTCTGCACACCCAAGGCAGTAGGGTAGTGCCTAACGGGAGAAGATTTCCAAATGCCACCTCTCCTGCCCAGACTTCAGGACCAGGAATCCATCAGGGTCCCCAATCTCTAACGAGGCGTGCGCTGCCCTGCAGTCCAGCTCCCAGAGCTGTGTGTCTTCAAGTTGCAGGCTTTCAGAAAACTCAGCATTCACAGAGGCAAACAGCACCGAGCCGCCAAAGCATTCACCACAGGATGCCTTAAAACCGAAACTACTTTTAACTTAAAATATGATTATGTTTAATTAAAAAAAAAATAGGGCTGTTGCTTACAGTGAGAAATACCCAGTTGTGCGAGGCAGTGCCTGGCATTTATTCAATATCAAAGAATCCAAGGTTTCAGCACCCATCTCTGCGACTGTCCTTGCATCATGCCATTGTTTTCCTAGGGCATCCTGTGGGACACTAGCCCCACAAAATTTGCTGGCGACGGGTTTCGGCACCTGGCAAGTTTTGAAGACGCGGCCTGCCGTGGCACGCAGAGCTCACTGCTGGACGTTCTCCGCGCCTGTCCACACCCAGAACGTATTTAGAAATTTAGAAATCCTGCAGCAATGCGATTTGCTTAATCCGGCATTTATTTCCCAAACTTATTTAACTAGGGACCCCTTGTACTAGAACACTAACTGACAGATGACAAAACACAGCTTAGAGAAGTGCGCTCTGAAATAATGTCAGGGCAGGAGGCCCCATCACTCTCAGACACACGACAGACGTGCAAACGCCTGGAGCTCCAGGACGGCCAGGAAAGGGGGCCGAGGTGTCAGCAGAGCAATCCTCTACACGGAGGAGCAGAGAACAGAAGGTGAAGCAAATACACACTCGGATATTTTTGTTGGTTTTTGAAGAGCATCTGATTGCCAAAATATTCTTAGCAAAGAATTGAAAAAAAAAAAGTTGGAAGACAGAATGTAGAATATGTTAGAATTTTTTGAGCAGATGAGCAAAGTTGTCAGGGAATGGGGAAGCGCTGGGAAAGGTCTGCAGGTGGTGGCGGTGAAGGTTTCGTTACCCGGTAATTGACAGGGAGCTGTTGCTCTGTTATCACATATTTAGTATTGGCCAACTTGCAACTTGTCATTGCCTTAGCTGAGAATAAATCACTTGTCCCAAATCTAAGATGGTAAAATATGCAGATGACTTTATGTGCCACCCACACAAAGGTTTATGTAATCCTAATTGCTTTTAATATGAAGGTCTCGTAATCTGAGCGTTGGTGCATCTCACTTTTAGGCAAAAGATAACAAAGATCAAACTATTTTTTCCCCCCTGAATCATTTAAAAGGATAGGAGGTGAGACTGGAACATACTGTTCCCTTTGTATTCAAAGAGGTGTCACATTTGGGGACAAATGTGGAGCCCTATTTGGGGCAGA